AATTCCCACACTGTGGCACCCTAATGGCCCAGGCAGCCACTCCACAGCATGTTGAGCTGGGGCAGAACAACTCTGCGCTGGCAGGCTGACCCCCCAAACTCCTGCCTGCTGGGACTATGCCGCCCCCGCTCAACATACTACAGTACCAGGTACACATGAAGACACTGCACCCAGGAGCAATAAATTCCAGCGTGACCTGCACTGGAATTTATTGTGCCAAATTAATTTCATATGTAGATGCACCCACTGCATAGTCTGCTTAACTTTCTCTAGCACTTCTCTTTCCAAGAGAAACAAAAGGACATAAGTTAACTTCTGGGAGGAGGTAAGTGACCCTGGTTTGATTTGCGGGTTATGGGTTCTGCAACCTGTTCCTACTGATTGTGTAAATAAAGATACCTTAAGAACTTCAAAATGATAATGAATGATCCCACCTTTGGCCAGGGGACTGGACTGGATGATTTCCTGAGGTCTCTTTCTGCTCTGTTTTCCAATGATTCCATTAATGTTTGGTGCATGATACTTAAATAACTTTCAGTGATATAGAAGCCAGACATTGTGACCTTTGTTAATATGCATCCAGCTGGGTGAGAGATGAATCAGTTTCAGTTCCTAATGATGTTGAGATTTTGGGGGAAAATCAAGTTACCTTTCAGTTTGTCCTTTAATACCTCACATGTGTGAGATCTACAGAAGCCTTTCAATGAGGAAGAAAAGCCAGAGTGCTTGTTCTAAGTCCCAGATATAGGGAGATCGTGGAAAAGCCCCAACAGTGGCAGTGAAGGTACAAAAAAATTTTAATCATAAGGGTTTGTATCTCAGTTTCAGCATACTTCTTCTGAGACAAAGGTGAAGCCATGAATTGGTGGCTGGCCCTGGGATTAGATGTTATTTTAAATCTACCCTTGCGTGATCAGTACATGAGAAAAATATTGGCATCCTGATATTTTTGAAAAAAATGCAGCTTAATTCCACATTTACAAATTCCTTTGATGAGACAGGGATGTCCAGTTTGTGTCAGACTTGCTTGAGATCTGAGAGTTTGCAAATTTCCTTCATGACTTGCTCTTTCTTAGCTTGTTGGACCATATCTACAGCCCCTTGCTTGGGTAACTGCACCCTTCAGTTCTTGCGCTGAAGCTTAACTGCTCTCCGGATGCTAACTTAATAACTCCCTCTGCATCTTATAGTGTCACTGATTCTGGATCTGTCACTGGCTCGGGCACCCTTATCCTGTCTAATACCAAGGGGGTTGAGATAGGCCTGCTTGCTCCACTGAGTCCTGAGCGCAGAGCAGGCCTCATTCAACCATTTGCACACACAGTTCCATGGGTCAGTTCTTAACACTGCCCTCCGGTATCTACAATCTTCATTTTCTCCTTCTTAGGATTGAATTCTCTACCATCTATGTATGAAGCACCTCTCTTTCATCTGGTCTTCAGTGCAAACTCCAGTTGGAAACCATTGCTGCTGACAGAACTATTCCTGATGTTCAGCTTTCTATCCTTAGCTGATTCTCCCACTCTGACTGACAACCTTAATAGTTTCAGAGAGAGCAGAGAGTGGTCAGCTGTTGAGATTAAAGGGATATTTACCTATGTGTTAACTGAGGTCCTACTCCTGTACTCCACAGTGGGGTTTACAAACCCTGTCACACTAACAAATGTAGGAAAAGAGAGGTTTCAGTCAATTGCTGTGCTCCTATGCTGACTACAGAAGTGCTTTTGCAGCATGGGAGGGGACCTGGTTTGGATGCGTGGTGACATTGTTATACATGCCAACAAGAGCTTGGCTTGCTTGAGAAAGCCATATGGTGGGTTTCAACACTTGAGATGTGACACCTCTGGGTGACAGACTTTACATAAGTGTATGATTTTGGTTTCTTCTGTGGGCAGTCTGGGCAGTGGTTTGAAAATTATGTTGCAAAGTGTTTCTGGAGGAAATTTCTCATGTTTAATATGCAAATTTCTTTCCATGAAGAGAAAGAGCCACTGATATTTTTGAGATAATATTTTCTTCCTTATTTACAAAATACTTCCCACAGGAGGCATCATAGGGCTATGTGTCATGGAAGGAAAATTAGCCTAGCACTAAACCTTTTAACTAATTCCTTTTTTAGACTTTGTCTTTCTTTGAGATGTTACTGTAATTTCAGTATGTGGAATCATTTATTAAATTTAAAGCAATGGGGATATTTTTTTCCATTTTTGCAAAAGTTAGTCTGGAATTTGAATTTGGGCCCATTACAGGAGTCATACCATGAGAGATAACATGCTTCTCATTAGTGTTCATTTTGTCCCCTCTTAAGAGGATTCTATAAAATATGGATGGGAATTATTTCAGCTGTATATAAAATATAAACTTAAGCCTCCAACTGAAATGAGGCTTTGTTTATATTTTGAATTCAGGCTCCCTTAAGTCATGGCACAAATCATACCCATGGAACAACACCCCTTTGCTTTGCCTTTACAAAATCATCTTGAAGAGGACCACATAGCAGCAACAGAGCAACTCAATTCAGCCATGGCGTGAGAGAAACTAGATTCAAGTCCCAGACAGGCTCTTACAGGCCTTGGGAAGATGGAGACATCTTCATCTTTTCTACATAATTCTTTGTGCATACTTTACAGCATTGTTTTGTAAGAGGACTAACTAGATGGAGAGCAGTGCTCTAATGTTGAGATATACTGAAAATCTCCCAAAAGTCATTGCAGAGGAGGAACTTTATGCATTTGAGCAGTGGTATGAAGTTACTGCCCACCTGTCATTCCAAAGTACTGCAGAACCTTTGGATTTCCCCCCCCAAACATTGCACTTGTAGCAACAACAGAAGGAAAAGACATCCTGTTAGCTGATTTGGCTGTTTAAATCACATGCATGTGTGACTGACATGGCTAAATCAGTGCTTTATATTTTATTGCTGCATGTCTCCTCCTGTCTGGGGAGGACTTAACTGTGAAAGTGCCAGATGTGAATAGAGCCACACAAATCAGCTGCAAGTCACCATGATCAGCTGCTTCTAGCCACAAAGACGTTTTATGTGGCTAGGTATATTCTGTTTGGTGTCTCTGCATCTTTCCTACATCTGGGCCCAATAAAAGGAATAGACACATGGCCATGGCCAGTTGTGGGGAGTGGTCAGGTAAGCACAGCTGAACCAGGCAACAGACAGACAGGTGACCGTAGGGAAATTAGCTACAGTTATATTTAAGACATTGAGACTTGCTTTAGGGAGCAGAGATGTATAGGGCAATGGTTAGATTAGGGACTAGAGAGGCAGCGAGTCCTTGTTTCCCACTAGATCTAGGGAAAAGCAGGGAGCAGGAATAGGGTACACCTAGCCAGGAAAGAGTGGGAAGCTGGGAGGGATTCCTGAGGGCACCTAGGGGTGGAAGGGCTCCATGCAAGGGAGCAGGGTGGGAGTTTTGAGGGAGGAGCAGGAGGGGGAGGGAGAAAGTGGGGCTCCAGGGCCAGGTGGGAAGGACATGTGCCCCCAAGGCCATGCCTTCTTATGCAGTGCTCTGCAACCCTTCCCCAGGTTCGCCATGTGCTGGTCCGTGTGTTCTTGAGGGAAACAGGTAGGAGGCCACTGCCAGGCCCTTGCTTGTGGCTACTTAACTCTCTCGAAGCATAGCCCTGTTAGGCCTCTGGCATGGTGACTGTGAAGGCTGCTAGAGGTAGGCAGGGTACCATATGTCCAATGGTAACCTCCCAGGCAGAGCTCCCTGTCACAGCCTACTTCTCCTCAAGGAGATACGATCTCATCCATCATCTCAGGCTTCTTCACTTCTTTTGGATGGACTCCACAGATCATTAATTGCTCCCACAGAGTTGACCCACTACAACTGACCACAGGTGAACTCAATAGAGGGGTTCTCAAAGAGCAGCTCCCCAGCTAGCTCCCCCAAGTGCTGGGATATAAACTTGATTGTGGCCTGAAGCTCCCCAGGGGAAAAGTTGGGGCAGTAAATAAGGGAGGTGCAGCATGGCCCCTGAACCTCCCCAGAGCTGGCTCAGCTCCCATCATGATGGTGTTGGCCTTGTCAGCAGTGGGCAGTCTGCATGCAAACCCCTTTAAGGGATGTCTGAGTGTGAGGCTGGGCTGTGGACCCATTGATATCCTTCTGCCTGCTGGAACAAGTCTGTCCTAAAAGTAGTGGGGGTGGAGAGAGGAAGGCAAGGCATGGGTAGTTTGGTTATTCAGAGATGTAGACCTTCACTTGGTCAAAGAATGCCAATTTGGTCTAGTCATCCACATGGTTCTTTCTGGTCCTGACTAACTTGGATGCCTATGTGGGCAGTGTTTACCTGTCTTTGTGCATTTGAGGGGCTA